GGAGAAGGAGGAGGACGAGGAGGAGGAGGGTGAGGACCAGCAAGAGCAGGGGGCGGGGGAGGAGGAGCGCGGCAGCCTCTGGGACCTTGACCACCTTAGCTGTGTCATCCCACACCAGGCATTTCAGCTGAGGCATCATTGGCTTCTGCTTCTCTTGCTCGGTGCCCACAGTGGCAGCCTTCACGCCGGGCATGCTCGAGGTGCCATCCTTGGTGAGTGTAGCGATGGCATTGGCCACATAGTTATAGGCCCACTCAGCTTGTGCCTGGTCGTACACCGTCCCGAAGTAGTACGAGGGGATGGCGATCTGGCAAGACTTCCTTACCCAGGCCACCAACATGTCAGCCGTGCAGACATGCACATCCGCGAAGAGGGCCATGCCAACCCCACTGGCATCCTTCAATCCGTCAAAGGTGGCATCTAGAATTGACAAGCAGGTCTCCGGGCCCAGCTGCTCGTACTTGCACCAGCCCCGAACCATGCCGCGGTTGGAGCTGCCACCCGTATCAGTCGGGGGGGGGGCGGCGTCGATGTCATCGATGCTCACCACGTCTGACACTGGGATCTGCGGAGTTGGCTCAGTGCGCCTCTCATCCAAGAGTTTACACGACTTCCAGAACCCACTATGCGACGGGTTCGGGCTGCCGAGTGCGCGGCACGCCCTGCCATTCATGGTGCCTGGCCTGTCGTCGCGCTTGTCCATGCGATCTTTGATGAGCACCGAGAACTCCATGTCAATGTCGAGCCCACTGTTAGTCAAGCTGTTCAGACACGTCTCCTGGCAAGTCCATAACTTAGCCTGCTGGTTGGAGTGGATCGGCTGCGTCGCCAGGATGATGGACTGGGGGCAATCAGAAGCCATGGAACTTATCAGCGACTGCTGGCACTTCATCTGGTTCGCCTTGACACCGGAAGGGGCCAACCAATTGACGCGCCCCATCACAGCCTGAGGGCGCGCACAAGCCCTTTCTTTCCACTTCCCCTGCTGCCCCTGCCATCGCTGCACCCCCTGGCCGCCCGCGGCCCCTACGCTGCAAGAGGTTCAGATGGGGCAGGAAGGGCAAGATGGAGGGGGGCTGGAGGGGGGGGGCAAGAGGTGAGGGGGGGGGGGCAGAGGGGCAGGATATGAGGAGAGGGAGGGGATGGAGATGGAGGGCAGGGGAGGGAGGGGCCCAAGTGTTGGCTCATAATATAAAGGCATGTCTAACTCTGACGAGAAGCAAGGCAATGTGCACGACCACCCGTGAGCAGATACATGGGGGGTGGCACAGGTCGCCCGGGGCACGCGCAAAGCCAGCGCGCACTGACCAGGGCGCCGAGGAGGAGGGTGGGGGGGGGGGGGGGGGAAGAGGAGGAGAAGGAGGATGAGGAGGAGGAGGAAGGATTGTCAAGTGGCCAGGGCTTCACTACTGGCAGGCGCTTCACGTTCCCCATCTGACCCTGCTCCCCTTTCCCTTCCTTCTACTTGCCTCCCTGTCTTCCTCATCCTCCACCCGCCCCCTCCTCCACCTACTCATTCTGCCCCCCCCCCTCTCCCCTGCCCCCATCCCCCCCCTTCTCCCCCTCCTCCTCCTCTCCTCCCCCCCCCCCCCCCTCCTCATCGTCATCATCATCATCGTCCTTCTCCTCCTTTCTCCTCCTCCTCCCCCTCTCCTCCCCCCTCCTCCTCCCTCCTCCCCCCTCCCCCTCCTCCTCCTCCTCCTCCTCCTCTTCCTCCTCCTCCTCCCCCCCCTCCTCCTCCTCCTCCTTCTCCTCCTCCTCCCCCCCCTCCTCCTCCTCCTCATCCCCCTCCTCCTCATCCCTTCTCCTATGCCATTTTGCATGGCCCGATCCGCACCACGTTCTCAATAGAGACGCGGTGGCGGGGCTTGCTACAGACATTCCGCCGGTACTCCATGAACGCCTTGCACACAGCCACCTGCGCGTCAGTCACCACGATCTTGGCGTACCTCTTCAGGTAGAGCATGACCCCCGCGACGAGGTCGGACCACTGCTTCTGGCCGGCCTCCAGCTTCTCCCAATACACCGAGGACTCCCAAGTGGGCGTCTTGTCCTTGTAGAGCTGGATGGCCTTGATGTCGTGCTCTACTGAACTGACCAAGATGCCGTAATTGTCAGCCTCCAAACTCTGCATGAGCTGCAGTGTATTTGCCTGGGGCGTCTGGTGAGTGCCCCTGTGCTTCACGAGCATGGCCTTTATGCATGACACCGACTCCGCAGCCACATCAGCAGGCTTATCAACCAAGATGCTAGATAATTCAAGGCTCAGGTGGCGGTCGCTTCCTTCGATGTAGGCCTGGCAGGAAGAACCGTTCAAGTCAGCGGCTGACAACGGAGTGGTATGAAGTGTCTTCCTGTAGATGTACTCAACCAAGCACGACATCTCAGCGCTGTCCTCCATTTCCTTTCGACCATACTTCCTGCGGAGCTGCTCTGGGCGATTGATCCAGTCCGAGTGCAGCTTGTCAAACGAGAGCTGCATTGAGTGATCCGAAACCTTGAGCAAATTGGACCATCCCTGTTTGTTGCGTTTGAAGACATGGCCAACATAAATCCGCACAGGCCTATCAAGGCCACAAGGCGCACCCAATATAACTTTAGACCCCAGGGCATCATCAGAGCCCATGGCCTGCAGGCCATCCCAACCATTTTAATGGCCCGCGACGTGCCGACTCTATGTCTGGGGGCGGGGCCGGCGGCTACTGGCAAAGCCTGTCAAATTTTATTGCTTGCCAGACTGTCATCGAACAACATGCACTTGGGCCATCCATGACGGGAGACGTGGTCCATCAGTTTCTGGAGGATTGGCTGTGGCATGCGCTCGAGCACGAGCTGCACTGCCGCTGCTTGACCACCTTTTCAGCTTGGAGTTCGAGGAACACGTCTGGTTCCAATCTGCCACCACCTGCGAAGGGTCAGCGATGCCGAACTCTTGCATCCGCGAGAGGGTCAATCCAAGTCACCACGTTCGGGGCCCGACGAATGGCTCCACGCACGCTCTGCTTGAAGGTCAGCTTCATCAGCTGCTTGCGGTCGCTCGCCAGGATGCCCACTGCGTGGATGGTCCGCGCCGTCTCGAAAAAGTTTGGCAGCGCCTCGCGGGCCACCCTCTCCCCTCACAGTCTATCCTCTCCTTGACTGCACTGCCCTCGTGGGTATTAAAGGGCCCACACAGAGGACACATGGGAGTCAGGCAGGGGGGCAAGGAGGGGGGCCCACACGATGGGGGAGGAGGCGAGCGGAGGCAGAGGATCAGAAGGGGAGAATGGGCAAGGAGGTCGAGGAGGGAGGGGTCGGGCCTACTTGTTGTGCCCAATGCTCCCCACCCCCCCCTGGCTGCCTTCTCCGCTACCAACCTCGCCCCCAAGGCCCATCGCTCTGCGCCCCGGCGGGGCCTCCTTGATGCTCAGCTCATCCTGGATGAACATGCTGGCGAGGGCCAGGAGGGCGCAAGTACGCGCCATCCCTTTTACATAGCCAATGCGGAAAGCACGGGTGGAAGCATGGCCATCATCCATGCTGACCATTATGTTGGCGCCGTCATCAGGGAGCTCTGTAACCCACATTGGATCATTGGCAGTCGCGAAGCCATCCGGGAGCACCTGCTCGAGGATCTCGATGCAAATGTGCATCTCGGGGTTCCCCTGGGCACTTGGGGGGACATGTTAAACTCATGCTCTCATCCCTGCTCCTCTTCCTCCTCCTCCATGCCCCCCCCCTCCCCCCCCCCCCCTTTCTCCCCTCCTCCCCTCGTCCTCCTCTCCTCATCATCAACATTAACATACATCATCATCACACCACCATCGCCCCCTCAGCCTTCCCCTCCTCCACCTTCTCCTTCTCCTCCTTGTCCCCCATCTCCTCCTCCTCCTCCGTCTCCTCCTCCTCCTTCCCCTCTTCCTCATATTCCTTCTCCTCCTCCTCCTTCTCCTCCTCCTCCTGTCCTCCTCCCCCTTAACTTCGTCGTCGTTGATGTCCTCGTTGTCGTCGTCGTCATCACTGCCCATGCTGCGAGGACGACGTCATGGCGCCAGAGAAAGGGCGCCCGCCTCCGAGGAGGAGGGGAAGCGCGCGACAGAGGAGGAGGAGAAGAGGAGGGGGAGGAGGAGGAGGACGAGGAGGAGAAGGAGGAGGAGGAGGCTTCTCCTCCTCCTCCTCCTCCTCATCATCATCATCCTTCTCCCTCCTCCTCCTCCTCCCTGATCATCTCCTCATCTCCTCCTCCTCCCCCCCCCCCCCTCCCCACCCCTCCTGCGCGCGCTGCCCTGCGCGACCTCGGCAGATTCATGAGCGGGCCTCTTGGGCTGCCCTCGGAGCTTTCTTGGAGCCCCGAATGGGGCCCTCATGGGCCCTCCTAGCGGGGGGGGCGTTGTGGGCCCCCTCTCGAAAACAGGGCCGTGGGCCTGGGGCCGTCTTGGGCCGTCACGAGGCCCTCATGTGCAATCTCGGGGCCCTCTTGGGGTCATTGTGGGCCTCCCCGGGTGCCCCATGTCCTCCTGGGGCTCTCGAGGGTGACCTTTGGGGATGCCCTGTTCTCAGACCCCCCTGGGCCCCCTCTTGGGCCGTTCTAAGGCCTCCCTTGGGCCCCTCTCGACTCCCCCCTGGGCCTCTTTGGAGCCCTCCCCCTGGCCAACTGCACCCTTGTTATCTCGGCGCTGGACACGCCTGCAACACCCTTCCCTGGCACGCGCAATGCCCCCAGGCCTTGATGCTCGCATCAGTGTTGAAGCGGAGCATGGCAGGGTGCACCACCATGGTCGGGACCTCCTTCTTCCCCAACTCCTTCGGGTCGACCTTCTGGAGCTCGGGCTGGGCCGAGTAGGAAGCCGACATGTCGGGGGGGAACTGGCGCAAGAGGGCATTTGCGAACTCGAACATCTTGGGCGTGGTGTCCCACGTCTGCTGGAGGTATTGGCGCGCGTTGCACATCTGCTTGAATGCGGAGACAATTCGATCATTGGCTGGCTGGTTGCTGTCCCCGCTAGCAACGATCCACCGACCAGTAAATGCCGTGCTTGGTGATGGCGGCTGGGCATTATGCGCGGGGGCTTGTGGGGCGCCAGGATTGGCCCCCGGATGCGAGGCCCTGTCGCCCACAATGAGAGTCGGGGCCCCCAGGGTATCAGCCGGTGAACTCGGCTGCGCTGGCATGGGCGAGCAGTTGAGTGAGTGTCGCGCTCAAATTCTCAAAGAGATTGAGCTGGCTGCTGCTTGTCGCTTGCGCTCGGGCGCGGGCTCGGGCAGGAATCGACCGGGGGAGGGGGGGGGAGGGGGGGGAGGACGAGGAATATGGAGGAGGTGGGGGGCGAGAGGGGGAGAATGAGGGCGACGAGGAGGATACGAAGAATAGGAATACGATGAGTAGGGGGGCAGGGGCAACATGGAGGACAAAGATGGAGGAGGACGAGGAGGAGGAGGAGGAGGGAGAGGAGGAGGAGGAGGGAGGAGGGAAAGTGGCAAAGGATGGCTAGCAGGGCCACATTTGGACAGGCAGACCACGAAACATTTGAAGCAGACGGCTTGACACAAGCAAATGTCAGAGTGAAGGGGCCGAACGGTCATTCACTGTCTGCGGCTGAAGATGCTGATTGTTTGCGTTGTCATTGAGTTCGTCGCCCACCGCGACCAAGCCTGCGACTCACTCTTAGCCGCAATTGCGGGGTGCTACGTATTCGACATCGCGCATTCATCCCCTGTATGTTGCGCGCGTGGGAAGCGCATTCGAACCAGGGCGACCACCTGCCTGCGCGCGCCGGGGCCCCTGGCCAAATCACTTGGCATTCGACGCTGGCAATGCGAGAGGGGCAGCACATCACCCCTCAGTGTGCCCTCCTTCTCATCTTCCATGCCATCTCCATCTCCCTTCTCGCGCCTCCCCCTGCCCCATCCTCCCCCTTTGCCCCGGCTTGCTATATTGCCCTCCGCCCTGTTTGACTCATGGCATTGGCAACTTGCATCTGGATCGAGATCGCCTGCTGAGAGCCTGACCGAAATCGACTGCCCATATCTCACTCGAGGTCGACCGCCCAAATCTTTGGCACAGTCGACCGCCCAGATCTTGAAAGAGGTCGACCGCCCACGTCCTGAGGGCCCACAGGCTGGCGACCCCCCCCCCCCCCCCCCCCCCCTGACTCAGGGGGGGGGGCGCCGCCCACGTTCAATTGAAACGTGGGAGGTCGGCCCAGTGCCAGAGCTATCGCTGTCGATCCACCCCCCCTCTGCTCGGGGGGGTGGCGGGGGGGGGGGGATCGACCGCGATGGCTCTTGCACTGGGCCGACCTCCCACGTTCAATTGAACGTGGGCGGTGCCCCCCCCCCTGAGTCAGGGGGGGGGGTCGCCAACATGTTGGCCCTCGGGATGTGGGCGGTCGACATCGCTGAGGATTTGGGCGGTCGACCTCACTCAGGATTTGGGCGGTCAAGCTCGCTCAGGATCTGGGCGGTCGACTTCGATCATCCCCCTCCTCCTCCTCCTCCTTGCTCCAAGCGCGGGCACGAGACATGCTGCCTCCCTGGGGCCTCCGCGCCAGGTCGGTGGCGCGCAGCTGCCAGGCGGCGCCTGGCGCGCCGGGGGGCCCGCACCTCTTGACCACCGCGCCCATGGGGTGGAGGGCGGGGGCGGCGGTGGCGGGGGGGGGGGGGGGGGGCAGATGAGAAGGGGCAGGAGTGAGGGGTGAGTTGGGGGGAGGAGAAGGAGGAGGGGGGGAGAGGAGGAGGACAAGTAGGAGGACGAGTAGAGGTACGGGGAGGAGGAAGACAAAGAAGATAAGGCAGACGATGTGCTCTATGCACTTACCATGTCCACTATTATTGCTGAAGCCCTCCTTGCCTCGCCCCCTGCCCCACCGGCCACGACAACAGCGCGCAGAAGGGGGCGGGGGAGATGAAAGTGGCAAATCGGGCTGTTATTAGGGCGCAACGCAATGGCAAGTTCATTATGCCCAGTATGTTTACACACGCTAGACACAGCCTCTGAACAGGCAACAAGTGCTGTACAGGGCCTGTAAATTGCAGCAAGCATAGAGAAAGGTGATGGTCGCTTCCCCCCCCCCTGTCCCCCTTCACCATCACTCCCAACATGCCCGAGGCTAGGCTAGGCCTCAGTGGTCAGTGAGTGACATCTGAGCTCGACGGACCAATGCATTCACCATGCCATCTGGGTAGGCCGCAGCAAAAGCCGAGAGCTGCACGCCTCCCTCATGGCCCTCAATTGTCTGGTGCTTCACGCTAGGCCTGCAATTGCACCGCTGCTGATCAAAGAGCTTGAACGTGTGCTCACAATTACTCATCAAGCATGTACGCTTGCGCATAGGCATGTTGCCCTCTGGGCTCTTCAACCCGAAACGGCACTGATCGAACCTGGCAAGCATGACACCGGGGCGACTGCGCCATGCCTTCACAATAGGCTCATGCCACGTGGCAGCCCCATCAGGGTGCTCAAACACGAACTTGCGACCCTTCGAATACTGAGCCCTGCACTGGGACAAGGCAAACGCGAGGAACATGTTGCCCTCGTCCTGTCGTGCCTGGTATTTGTCTGGATGCATCCGCCCCTTGTTAATGTGAATCATCTTCGAAAACATCGTGCAAGGTGGTGGTGTAAACAAATGCTTCACCCTGCGCTTGTCAACCACATCAGCCACCAACCTCTGCACAGGCTTGCGGTACAAGTTCCACCCTGTTTTTAAGTCCACACTGAGGCTGGCCTGGAGGCCGCGCTGAGCGGCCTTGGGAACCACGCGGGGGGGGGGGGGCAGAACACCTCCATGAGATCCTCCTGCGAGCGGGAGCCACCATACTTCTGGCGGAGGACCTCGATTGCCTGCTCAGCGTATTCCTTCTTCTTGAGCAGTGTTGCCGTGGTCGTGAGCGCGTTGATGGGGGCCTCCACGCGGCGCCCCCGCCCCCCTGCGAGCTGCCCTGCCCCCTCCAGCACGCGCTCACCATGCCTTGATGATCAAACCTGACACGTTGCGTCACTACATACCAGTGCGCACATGCCCACACATGCACGCACTCTCTCTCTTGCCGTGCTGTAAGATAAGGGGGGGGGGGGGGGGCATGAAAAGGCATGGGGTGCCACCCACCGCCTACGGCCCCCCCCACTGGTGGCCCCATGAGACCACCTCCCTCTCAGCACGCATGGCACAATCCAGTGGCAGTGCGGGGGGCATGGGGAACGATATGCTGTGCTTCGTGCTGCATTCCCTGACTTGCACTATCCCTGCCCGAGCCTGCTTGCGCTGGCAGCTCATGGGCTTGGCCTTGGCCCTCCTGGGCGGGGGCTCCTGAAGCTCGTCGCCCTGGTCTCCATCTTCAGATGGAGGGAGTGCCTCGAGGTCTCCATCATCTGTGGGCGGCAGTGCCTCAGAAGGGCGGCAGATGCAAAGGGGACAGGCAAGACATGGCATGCCACACATTGAGTTTGATAACTTAGCCACTACAGTGGGGGGCGCAAGGGCAGGGAGGCATCTAGCGCCCCACAATTGAAGATAAGAGTGAAAGCGCGGGCAATCAAGCACAACGACCCACCTGCCCCGCGACAGGCCGGCGACCCGTCTGCCCCGCATGGCATGAAAGAAACACGCCGCCATTCATCAGCAACCCAAGACAACACAAGCAAAACAAAACCCAAAGGGCCCCTCGTGGGCCCGACAGCTCAGGAAGGCCCCAAGAAGCCAAGATGGCCCCTGGGGGGTCACAAGAAGGCCCCAAGTCGGCTCCAAGAAGCCCCCAAGAGGCCCCCAGGAGGGCCACAAGAAGGTACTAGCAATCATCGCGCCAATGCCAAACCCTGTCAGACGGAGTTTGGCGGAGGGGCCCAACAGGGCCCCCAAGACGGCCCCAGGGGCCCTGAGACGACTCCACGCGGGCCCACTATGATTCCAAGAGGCCTCCAAGACAGAGGGCCCCAAGAGGACCCCACGAGGGCAGTAAGCAGTCATCGCACTGGGGGGGCCCACGAGGGCACCCAAGACAGATCCAGGGGCCCCAAGACGGCCCCAGCCCCCAGGCAGTCCCAAGATGCCCCCAAGAGGGCCCCAATGGGGGGCCCAGGAAGGTAGCAAGCATCACGCCAAACTCGGTCAGACTGAATTTGGCGGGGAAGCCCTGGGACGGCCCCAGGAGCCCTGAGACGGCTCCAAGAGGGGCACCCATATGGCCCCAAGAGGCACCCCATAGAGGGCCCCAAAATGGCCCCAAGAGGTTACTAGCACGCATCGCGCCAAACTCCATCAGACGGAGTTTGGCAGGAGCCTTGAGACGGCTACACAAGGGCTCCCAGACAGTTCCAAGAGGCCCCCCCCAAGAGGGCCCCATGGGGGCAACACGCATCGCGCCAAACTCCGTCAGACGGAGTTTGGCAGGGAGGCCCAACAGGACCACCAATGCGGTCAGGGCCCCCAGATGGTTCCAAGAAGCCACCAAACAATATGCCCCAAGACGGCTCCAAGAGCTCTCTCAAGCCCGCCCGAGGGCCCTCGGACGGGCCCAGGAGGGCCCCAGGGGGCTCCGTGGTCACCATATTGCACCCTTATGGTGGCCACCCCTGGATCGCTTTCTGGGGCACCTACTCCATCATGCCAGGACCCTTGGGGCTCCCATGGGCAACTCTCGAGCGGGCCCATTGCCAAGCGAAGCCGCCTGCCACTGCGCTGCGACCCACACGCGGGGGCGACGACAACAAGAGGCCGAATCCTCGCAGCCACGAGCCCAGGGACAATGTAAAACCCTCTCGCTCTGATAATCTAGGGGACGCGATCGACGCATCTGGAACAAAAGGTGACATAGGGAGAGGGAGAAAGAGAGAGAGAGAGAGAGAGAGAGAGAGAGAGAGAGAGAGAGAGAGAGAGAGAGAGAGAGAGAGAGAGAGAGAGAGAGATAGGAGAGAGAGAGAGAGAGAGAGAGAGAGAAGAGAGAGACGAGAGAGGAGAGAGAGAGAGAGAGCGCGAGAGAGAGAGCGCGAGAGAGAGAGAGAGAGAGAGAGAGAGAGAGAGAGAGAAAAAGAAATAAAGAAAGAGAAAGAGAAAGAGAAAGGGAAATACGGAGAGGGAGAGAGACATAGAGAGAGAGAGAGAGACAGACAGACAGACAGACAAACCGACAAGCGCACAAACAGACAGACAGACCGACAGACAGACGGACAGACA